CATCAATGAGGTCCCGGGCGATGAGGCCTGGCTCACAACTGGTGGTCCGGGCACTGTGGTAGGCAAGTTCTACCACACCAAACTGGGAAAACCATTTCTTTATGGACCTGGTTTTGTACACGGAGCATCATCATGGTGAAAGAGTCGGTTGCGACAAAGTTGGAAGCACTTCTCTTAGATATAATTGTATGCTGTAGCCCCCCACCACCACATACTGTACTTAAGCTGTATCATGTAGATGTGTCCCTGGGCTCTTCTTAAAGAAAACAATGGCATTGCACCATCAATCTTCAAAAAGCATTGAAAGTTGTAGAGTGTTTCTCTATTTTGACATTTCTGGTGTAACTGCTTTTTTTTTAAAAACAGCAACAGGAGTGAGGCTACAAATTTGAGAAAGGTTTCAAATGCTGGATTCAGATTCAACTACTCCCGAACCCTAACCTGCTTTTTCTCTTTAGTTTTGCTTTATACTCCACTTGCACTTTAGCATCAATTATTTTTATATTCACCAAAATTCTGTAGATGCAACTTTAATAAGGGGCACAACCACATGGACGCAAACAAGATTATACAGTCGCCTCACTGTGACATTTGCTCTCATGGAGAGAAAAGTTTATGATTCCCCATTTCCGCTTGTCGGACAAGTCTCAGTCACCAGAGGAGCCTGAAAAATGTCAAATATTGCTCCTCCCGGTTTGAAACGCCGGCGTCAAGAGCCCAGAGTCTGTTGATGGAGGATGAAGAAAAGGAGGGAAAAGATGAAGAAGAGTGAGAAACAGTTTCTTGCTCTGATGTCCAGGAAGCCCTCGTGGGACAGAATCAAAACTGGCCTCTCCTGAAACCCTCTCATCATGGGCAGCCAGTGACCACTCGCCCCCCAAAAGAGCCGCCAGATGAGAGCGAGGACGGGGAGTGATGGCAGAGGTGGAGGCAGGGTGAGCACATTGATGGTGATGAGTTCCTTCACACACAGAGACACAAACGCCCCCCCCCCCCCCCCCCCCCCCCCCCCCACACCCACTCATCCTCACACCTTCTCCCATCTCCCCGTGGCCTTGGCCCTGCAGGCAACACACACACATGTTTTCTACCTCACACACACATACCATGGTTAGGCCTCCAATTAAATCAAAAGTGGTTTGTTTTTATTGGTCTTTTGCGCTGACAAGTGGGCTATCATTCTGACGGCTCTACCTGTCAGTGAGCAGCTGAAAATCCTCCGTTGACAATGCCCAATGCTTCCAATTAGGGGAGAATCAGACTCCTGGCGCGCTAGCCATCTTTCCACCCTCCCCCCCAGGCCCACCTTCCCTCCCTCTTTTTCCTCTACACTCGCTCCTCGATCCTCTACTATTCTCTCTCACTCTCTCTACCTCTCCTCCGAAATATCTCCCTCCTCCTTCTTCTTCTCCTCCTCCTCCTCCTCCTCCTCTCCTCTTTCTCTCTCCAGGAGAAGAGGGTCTGTCTCCGCTGCAAATTACCGACACAAAACGAAGGTGGTGGCGGCGCTGGCGCTGGGAGCTGCCGGTCCAGGGCCCTGTCAGCATTAATGAGACGATGAAGGTTTATTTCGCCCGCATGCATGTGCTAAATTCTTTCTTGTGTGACAGCTGACTGGGAAATGTGAGTGTTAACCTTATAAAAGATTCAGCGGGTTCTCATTATTTTCTGTCAACTCCAGTACCTGATGGCGTTAAGGTGCATCATTTGCATCCCTGACTGGTCCAGGGTGCAGCACCAGCTCCAGAGCAAGCGCCTTTTTCTTTTCTTTTTTTTTTTCTCCCCTGCCTATTTTTTTAATGCTGTTTGTTTGTTGAGAGGAGTCATCTTTTTACACATATCCCCCTCGAAAGACATGCTTTTCCCCGATGTTCCAAAACGACAGAGATGCCAAAGTTTATTCAAAGGCGACACACATTTTTACAAAACATATCTAGATCTATATTTAACACACCTGCTCAATTGAGCGAGTAAATAAAATGTTTTCTCCCCCCCCCCCACCCCCCCACAAAAACACAGGAAGCGGAGGAGGCCCAGCAGGCATTATTAGTAGTAAAGCTTATGGACAGGATTCCAATAATGCAGAGGGAAAAAAAACATAAAAACAACATGTCCACAGATAGATTATTAACACTGACAGGTGGACTATCACGATGAAACTGCACTTGGTGCCAGTTAATGTTGTTATAGGCTCTATATTATTGATATTTAAGTAAATATTCAAAGACAGGCAGCCTGATTAGCATAAAATATTGAAATCAATATTGGTCTTATATACATTTATGAAAGTTAGATTAAAGAGCCAGAGGAAATGCAGTGCACACTTCATTGAAATGGCCCATGGGTGCCAAATTGTTTTGGTAAAAATGTGAGTGGAAGGTGTGGGGCGGTTTAATGTGAATCAGTGATAAAATTTTATTTAACCATCTGATAAAAACAGATCGGGAGGTGAAAAAAAAGGATAGCAATTCACTCTTGTACTGACCATTTCCTGGAAACATCCATGTTTCCTCTCTTTAACATGGATCAATAACATCCTCCCACAACATCAATTTGTGTGTGTGTGTGTGTGTGTGTGTGTGTGTGTGTGTGTGTGTGTGTATTTCATCATTGGGGTAACAGCTGCACTGGACCTCAAATTCAGACCACTTCCTGGAAAAAAAGAAGGAAAAAAAATCTAGCTTCGCTTGACCAGAGGGACACTTGTCCAAAATCAGCAGCAGCATGAGCCAAATCATTACAGTACAGTACACACACACACACACACACACACACACACACACAGTGACAGTCTAGCTGCACTGTCTTCTGCCAAAAACAATACATTTGGATTTATAAACTTTCAGAAGCCTATACTGTTCAATATAATTGTACAAATTATATGAACACGCCTGTGCACTAAGACTGTGTTAGTGCTAAAATAATCATTTGTTTAATCCAAATTTTGATAACTCAGCTAAACATTTCAGTTATTTAACAAGCAAACATGTCTCACAATTCCATCAAACAGTAATTCCATCAAACAGGAGGTATGAGGATTTGCTGTTTTTCTCTGTTCATTGTAAATTGAATATTATTTAATATTTGGGTGTGGGGCTGTTGGTTGAATAGAACACCTTGAACTTGGGTTAATTTTCCACTTTTTTAATCACAATTCTGAAATTTTAAAGGCTAAGAGATCATCGAAAAAAATAAATCAACAATATAATAATGAAAATAATCCTTATTTGCGGCAATAAAGTAAAACACTCCTTATCCTAAATCTGTTAAGTAAGCATGCTATGGCATTGTGTGATTTTCTTTTTTTCTTGGAAATCCTTCAAAATGAATAACTATTTTATTTTATTTTTACCTGCTAGCTGGATTGTCTGTAAATAGATTTGATATAATAAAAAAATAAAGCCGTTATAAAGGGTTATAAAGAGTTCAAATGAATAAATAAAAATAAATGAGACTTTTGGGGTTTTTGAAGAAACAAATAAAATAATTAAGGCTTGTCTCACAAGTTTACAGGCCATGCATAATCACAAAGAGGAAGAATTCAGTTTAAAGAGCTCATGATTTATTCACTCCAACATTACTGGAGCCAGTGGACATGCGGAACAGGATAAAGAGAAGAAGACAAAAAAAAAACTCTGAGAGAAAGCATCAAACCACAGCTCCTTTTCATGCACCAGCAGAGGAGAAAGAAACAGCTAAGTCAGGGTGGGTGTGTGTTGCCTTATATCTGTGTTGTCCCCGCCTCATATGTGACAGCTTGCAGCCGTGATGGGACCCCATGGGAGCGGGGAGCGGATTCACTAACCTGCCGGTGTCTGAGACCGACGAGCGCCTCCAATCTGGTGGTCACATGGGGTGGAGGAGAATCGAAGGGAGTGGGATGTGTGTGTGTGTGTGGGGGGGTGTAGATGATGAGAAAAGGGTTAGTTAGATTATTAGGGGCTGTCGGGGGCGTCGCGCGGGGCAAACTGTTGTGTATGGAGCTAAAAGTGCGCACAATGGCATTTCACGCATGTTAAGGTGAAAAGTGCGCACAATGGCACTTCACGCGCCTTGAAGTTTTGCTACATGCTGCTCGGACTATTGTATGCAATTACCGGGGACTATTAGTTAATAATGACTGTTCGACGGCTAGACATTGTTCGTGCTCAAAAACAAAACCTTTTTTTTTATAATAGCCTATATTTCTTATTCCTCAAATGTCAAGGTGGCCAGGATGTATCTGCAGAGATTGTTTTGGTATTTTAAAGTTGAGATTTTTTTTCGACTGAAAGCAAAATCTATAACAACTAAAAAACAAAATAAATAAATCCAGAGTTTAATAATAATAGGCTAATGTTCAGCAAAAAGAGCAAAACAATCAAAGGCCTCTTACAAATTTAAATAATGTGTAACAATAAAATCACCACTATCCAGCAGGAGATGATAATACTAATAAAAAAATCTAATGATTATTATACTTAAAATTTCGTCCATGAATTTCTAAATATCAACACATGCGCAACCAAACAATGTGAAAACTGATAAATCCGTTAAATAAATGATGACAAACAAAATATAAAAATTTGTGTTGATAATAAAAAGTAAAATGTTGAGGGGGAATCTGGAAATAGAGGAGCTGTGGAGGTGGGGAAACCAATCCAGTCAAAGACAGGGAGTCGAGAAGAAAAACACAGAGCCGCTCCACATAATAACCCCATTATAAGCCTCATCAATGATGTAATGAAAGCAAACAGTGTGAAAATTGCCTGTAAACAGTTGGATCTGAGTCTCCTGATGAATTCAGTGTCTCTTTTATCAAAGTGAGGATGAGCCAGGGAGGAGAGGATGGGAGAGGCAGGGAGGGAGGGAGGGTGAGAGGCAGAGTGAGTGGGCGTGTAGGGAGGTCCACTTCCAGCTCCCCTCAGCCAATGAAGGCTTGTCACAGGGGACTCACGTGGACGTGGCGCTCTTAAAACCTAGCTCCTGACTTTTCCTCAAGTTCAATTTTTTGGGATTCCCTCCCACCCCCATCACATCTAGTCCTTTTACTTGCCAGTTGTGACTATTTAACCCAGTTTAGCTCTCCCTTTTTTCGCTTCTGCGGCGCGCATCGCGTCGTCCCGAGTCTTCCGCTTCTTCCTCTTTTGCTGCTTTTCTTTTCCTGCTGCAGCTCTCGGACTCCTCTCTCTCTCTCAGTCTCTCTGTTTCGTGTTTTTTTCCCCCCCACAGTTATGTCGTTCTACTTAGAAGAATGTGAACAGTTTTCATCTGTCTTCTGTGCCACATGACGAGCTGCCCTCAACATATCCCGCTCCTCTCTCAGGTCTGACGCGCCTGCACCTGTCCATGGTGCTGAAACGCATTTTTCCCCACGAAGACGCCGGTGCGCTGCTGCTCTCACATTTCCAAAAATAGTCATCAATTCTGCATCTTTTTCGTGTTCTGCTGGGTGAGATAATTTCAGCAAGAACTGGTTCGTCTTGCCGGCGAGGCTTCTCAACTGAAGGCAGAAGGAGTTGGTCTTAAAGGAAGCAGAAAGAATCGATTACGAAAGAGACTACAGCGACTGCATCGATTTCAGGAGGACTCGTCTTGCTAGACTTGACAAAAAAATAAATAAAACAAGAACATCGGATGCATGGACGATTGTTGTAACGCAACTGAGCCTGGAGATATTTTCTCTTTAAGAACCAGTTGGGGAACTGGAAATAGCGGATGAATAATCTCCATTTGTAGCGTATCCAAAAACAGTTTTCTTGGTGTGGGGAGGGGGGTTCTTTTTTACTCTGCTGGATCAACTGAGACTAAAACACCCCCTCCCCCTCCCAAAAATAAAAGTTGTCCTGAATACCAAATGGTAGTTTGAGGAGGCCTCGAGCTAGACAATGGAGGCGTCCGCCAACGGGTCCAGTTTTGGCATCGACTCGCTGCTGTCCCACAGGCCTGGAAGTCCGGTGTCCAAAGGGGACAGCCTGGCGGGGGAGTGCCGCTCGCCTCTGGAGTTCAGCCCGAGATCAGATGTGGAGAGCGGCTGCTCGTCGCCACCGTCGCCGAGGAGAGAGTGCGCGGAGGAGGTGGCCCAGAGGCAAGGTCACGGCGTGGGCCTACCGCCGCACCTCCAGCACGCGCAGATATCGGCGGGGTCGCAGCAAAGGACCGTGACCTCGTCTTTCCTCATCAGAGATATTCTCGCGGACTGTAAGCCTCTGGCCGCTTGCGCGCCCTACTCCAGCAATGGCCAGCCGACCCAGGAGGCGGGGGAGGCTGGCCTCGAAGATAGCGGACGACTTTATGGAGAAAATCCACAGCAACTCGTCGTCAGACAGTGAATATAAAGGTAAGGATGTAAAGCGGTCTGTCGGTAGACACAAGGAGCTGTTCTGCTTTGGAGGTGAGAGTGGAGGGGAAACTGATTTGGCTCATAGTGGTCTTTTGGCTCCTGCAGAAAATGACTGACTCTTAAAAAGCAGGTAGTTGTATCTGGAGTGGCTCCTTCTTAGTTTGAGTTTTTGCGTGTGGTTCAGGTGCAGCTTGTCTGGCCTAAGTGCTTCTTTAAAAAGGGATTATTAATTTGGGCAAACCTCATTAAATCATGATTCAATATTAAATAAAATGAAAGAAAAGGGTTATAGGGGGATCTGTTACAAAATGTGTGGTGCAATGCTAGAAAAATCTAATACGACATGAAGTTGGAACGACAATAAATTCAATTTCAATGAAAGCCAAACTGCTCTTCAAAATATAATTAAAGCATTGTGTTACGCTCGATGAATATAAAAAAATAGAAAACCTAGAGAACTATAAACGTAGGCCTAATTAAAAAAAGGTCATTTTTATTTTGAAGGTTTAGAAATGTTCAGATTATTTTATATCATTCTAATAATAATAATGTAGCTTTTTGAATCAATTCATTAGTAACAGCCCGCCGGAAGCCATCATCAATGAGGAAAAATCGACCCCATCCTCTGCCGCTGCATCACGGTGGTGGAAACATGACACTTGTTTCTGCTGGGTGACAGACTAATGAGTTCATTTTCATTATTTTTTTTTCTTTCTTTCCTTCTTTACATTTAAAATCAGCGGCTGCCTGCGTGCATGCGCGGCGCGTCTCGAGCTTCGCATTAGCGGAATATCCAGAAAGCATCTGTTGATGTCAGGGAGGCAAGAATGGGAGAGATGACAGGGTCGCCTCCAGATAAATGCCATCAAGGGCCTCTCTGTTTCCAATCATGTCAGCCATAACAGACATGTCACCTCCATTGACAGTTTAATGAAGCAGTGCCTGGAAAGACGACGACCGCTGCAGGCTACAGTGCAAATACATAGCTTATACTAATATTTAATACTTTTGAAAATGTATAGGCCTAATTATTATTATTATTATTATTATTATTATTATTATTATTATTATTATTATTATTATTATTTCAGTAGTTTTTTTATTTTGTTTTATTCACTTCACAGGCTCACAGTGTTTTTCTTCCAACCTGACTTTCCCTGTAGCTATTGATACGGCCTCACGTCATCAATTTGCTCAACCAATTCAGTGTGTGCGTCCGCGCGCGCTCACGTGTGTGACAGTGTGGATGGAGATGCTCCTCGACGCGCTGATTGATTGAAGAAGCCGCGGGGCCCACAGCGCTTCTGCACGGTAGCTTTGATTTCCACGAATCCGCCTCCTATAATATTTCAGGGATTTGATGCAATTTGTCCCCGGCGCTAATCAGATTTGTAACCGCGCAAGGCCGCCCGGCTCTTGATTTCCACTCATTTCCACGGTCCTGTGAAGTTTCTCCGGTCGCGGTTGAAAGGCTCGTCCTTCCCTTGTGGCTCAATTAGGCGGATTATTGTGCTTCTTGAGACGACTCAACTATTCAACTACTAAGATCCCCCCACCCCCTCTCCCCCCCATCACCCCCATATCAATGCTCGTCCTGACATGACACCACGCAGAAAAAGAACAAAGACTGCGGGTCTACTGATGGGAAAAATATCAGATTGGAGGAGTAAATATTGGAAGAGCTTTTCATAACAATTTAAGACCAAATCAAATAGCTCCATATAGCCTATAGGCACTGTTTCTAACGGCGTGTTTTTTTTACACTCCACAGTCGAAATTGTCAATCCCTCTCAAATAGAGCGAAATAGTTGTAAAAAAAACCCCCCAGCATGCTGGTAAAAATCAGACATGTTTATAAACATATTTAACAAAAAATATTTGAAGCGCTTTTATCATTTTCTTTGAAATGCGCATAAAGTTAACTGTGTAGACTTTATGCACTTGGTGCTCATACCAGTGATTTCAAATAATTCAAAATAAACTTCCCGGTTTGATTTTCTGTGGTCACCCCCACTTTTCTCGCACTGACGTAAAACGGAATAAAATTGCATTTAAAAACGAATTTAGCCCTGTTCCAAAGTTGGACTTTGTCGCGTCTTTTGGGGGGTGGGGTGGGGCAAGAGTTTTTATTATTATAACATTAAATCTTGCTGATCAATCAACCAACTATTCAGCCAATAAAGCCTTTATTTATATGTCATACAGTGAAAGAGTTTTGTAATTTTAAAATAGTTTTTACAGATATTTTTTTTAGAATTCTGTTTTGCTTTCATATTTCATATTTCTGTTTTCTCCGGAACCAAATTCTTGATTACAGTAAGCAGCCCACACGAACATAAAATGGACCCTTTTAAAACTACTTTATATTTTAGTTCACACTGATAAGCTATTTGTCTGCCTTATACAATGCTGCTGTACAGATTTATTTGCGCCTCCATGTATGGAGGTGGCGCGTGCACACAAAGATGGATGTGGTTTTATACAGTGTGAAGCCATGGCTCTGTTTTCACCTTCTTCTCTTCTTCTTCTCTTCTTTTTGATCGGCGCTGTTTCTATCCGCCAGTGAAAGAGGAGGGGGACAGGGAGATCTCCAGCAGTAGAGACAGCCCTCAGGTTCGGCTGAAGAAGCCCAGGAAGGCCCGGACGGCCTTTACGGACCACCAGCTGGCGCAGCTGGAGCGCAGCTTCGAGCGGCAGAAGTACCTGAGCGTCCAGGACCGCATGGAGCTGGCGGCCTCCCTCAACCTCACCGACACACAGGTCAAGACTTGGTACCAGAACCGGAGGTAAAGACACTGCGGCTGCTAGGGAGGAGGGGGGAATAATCTGATTTCTCAGGGCCTGCTCATGACCAGATAGACCGAGGGACGCCATGTTTTCCTTTCACCATCAACCTTAAGGTGGAATGAGTTCACTTCACTTAACTGCACACTGAGGCACCCACTTGGTCTGCAACTAAACATTGTATTAATTATTAATCAAGCTGCCGGTTTTTTACCCTCGATTAATTGTTTGGTCCAATAAATGTCAGAAATTGGTGGGAAACCCCTTCACAGTTTCTCAGAGGCCAAAGGGGTCTAAAAATGTTGTCCAATGGGGTCCACCAGAGACATTCAGTTAACTGTCATAGAAGACAGAAGAAAGCAAATGCTCATATTTGATCAAGTGGAACCAGTGACATTATGCCATTTTAACTTGTAACGACTGATTGATTATCTGTAGTTTCTGATTTAATTTGATGTCAATCAAAGTCGAGTAACCGTTAGTTTCAGCATCAATTTTACTTTAAAATAACACACCCAATAAAATTACCAGGAACATCTAGCCTACTGATTGACAGCTGATCAATTGATCTGATATCCTTATTAGCTATAACACTCTCATGACTAATTAGCCTAATTTTATCTTTTACATTGTTTTTTTATGCATCCTTTTTCCCGACTTTTACCTCTCTGTTAAGAAAAAGAAAATACCACAAGATGAAACCACGTAGACACATTTATGGGTGGTCTGGGAAGCTCTGCCAGCCCTGAATGTAGCCTATTCTTCTGTTTACAGCATCTTCATGCAACAAGATTACTTTTTTTTAAGCTCACGCCCGATTACAGCCAATCACCCTGCAAATACTTTGAAAACCAAGGCGTCAACATTGTGTAAATAAATAAAACGCCATGCGCTGGGAAACCGTCTTCGTCAGTGTTAAAACATGTTTTCTGCAGTTATCGGTTGAATTAACTTTAGCGTTTATTTGCCTAGGCTACAGCTTTGACTCTCAGGCAGCTATGACATAAATAAATATAAAAACAACACTTTGGAGTATGAATAATGCATCGTTGCATGTGTGCATATCAATAATTCAAACAAACCACTATATCTACTCAATTATCTTTATTATGAATTATTCACCTGCATGCAGTGCATACTGGCAATAACAAACTTGGGCGCGAACGCAAGTGGCAGGTTGGAGATTTTGGTGATTTAAAAAGAAAAAAAAAAACAGATGTATCCCTGACTTCTAATTAGACCCCAGGTAACCGGATGGGAGATGTTTTGGTGTGTGTCAGATTCAAAACACACTCACTAATAGTGCATGCATTTATTATACACATGCTAAGGCTAAAACAGCGTCTTTTCCCCTCCAGGACAAAGTGGAAGAGGCAGACTGCGGTGGGACTTGAGCTTCTGGCGGAAGCTGGAAACTATTCCGCCCTGCAGAGGATGTTTCCGTCCCCGTACTTCTACCCGCAGAGCCTGGTGTCCAACCTGGACCCCGGAGCGGCCCTCTACCTGTACAGAGGCCCCTCGGCGCCCCCGCCGGCCCTGCAGAGACCCCTGGTTCCGCGGATCCTGCTGCACGGCCTGCAGGGGGGCAGTGAGCCCCCTCCGCCGCCTCCTCTGCCCCCCATGTCCGGCGTGCTTCGGCCCGCTCAGCAGCGGTGAGCCGGACCCTGCAGATTTTGTTTTTTTGTACGCCGACCTTGGCAGCTTTGGACTCATTAGAAGAAATTAAAGACAGACAGAAAAATATAAAAACGTGACGAACAAGAGAAAAAGAAAGAAACTTTTCGTGGCCTTCATGGTGCGAAACGACCGATTGTAGGCTGAACCCCTGTGGACGGAGCTTTGTGACTGAACCTCGAACTGTCTTTGTGGAAGGATTTTATTTTCCATTTTTGGGGGGGACATGAGCTTTATTTATAACTTATTTATTTTTCAATATGAATTAAAGCATCTAAGTTATGTATTTATTTAATCCAAGTTTCAGTATTTTCAGTGTTTTTACCAACAAAGATAGGCTACAATTGTTGGTGGCACTTTGACCTGTCCACCTTAGTCCAAAGCTAATTAGACCCCCTATTGGCATTATTATTATTATTATTATTATGATTATTATTATTATGATTATTATTATTATTTGGACGTGCACGGATAGTGGCAAAAGCAGAAACGAGCATCCTTCCATGTATTTTCAATATAATGTAGTTACAGGATCCAAAGGAACAATTAGTAAATATTTCTTTTTTTCCTTTCTAAATCTGTCATTGATTTTTCAACAAGCAGTCATAAACATGTAAATAAGAATATTTTGCATTTTATTCGAAAGAGACTGATTTTAAAGAAACTTTTTGTTTTGTTTTGATCTATGAGTGTGTCGTTTTCAGACCACGGTGATCCAGTTTAACACAATAGGCTAGATTAGCCAACCCGAAACTATAGAGGTGAATGAGTCAGAATAATAAAAAAGAAAAAAAAGGGGGGAAAAAAGCAGATTTGTCTGAGAAAGGATGGACTACCTGCCTGGACCCACATATAGGCACAACCACGAGAGCTACTGAAAGAAATAAATCTATATAAAAAAGTCTTTTTCCTGTTCTTAGTTGAAGTTTTAGCGGAGTAAAAATGTCAAGTAATTTATATAAAAAAAAGCAGTTTTATCTCCGCAGATGGGGAAACAGGGGAAGCAATCACCTCGGTAATGTCTTTATTTCTGTTAATTTTTTTTTTCGCTAAACAAACGGATCGGACTCGGGTCCACGTCCAGGCGTAACTGCCTGTTGATTTGCTATAGATGTATTTGAACAGACGTTGTGCATTACTTATGTTATTTCATATGAAGCCGTGATTACCCTTACTTGTTATACTCTCCTTTGGTGAAAATGTATATTGCAGATATCAAACTTGTGGAGTGGTTCTCGTATATTTCCTGGATCGTTTTCTTATTTTTATTTTTATTTTATTTTTTCTCGTCCCTCTAGCTTCCCCCAAACTCTCCCGTTTCGTGAAGTTCATTTATTGTGTGAAATTCACAGCAAAAAGATGGACAGAAAAAGAGGGGGGCGGGGGGGGGGGGATTTGATGTAAAAGAGAATTACTTTTATAAATGTGGAAATAAAAGTCTTTCATTTAATGCACGTGGCTGCTTGAATATGTGTGAAACAGAAATGCCACGGGGCTTGTCAGAGAGAATAAACACTCTCTGCTTACATGGATTTCTCCATTTAAAACATGCAGTATAAGGACAAAACAGATATGATAGAAACAAATATCATACTTAAAATGTTTCGTTTTGGTTGAGATTGCAGACGTGTTTCAAAAGACAGTCCTCCTGTAAAGAATCACAATGGCAACTGTGGAAAACGTTTTAAACAAATAGGCTATGCTTTATAATAATTTCACACACACAAAAAAATATTTTAAACACTCTAGTTGGGTGCCAAAAAAATATAGTTTCCATATTAAAGACAGAAAGAAACATTTGAAGTAGGCTACATGTAAAGGCTTGCTCAATGTTTTTGAGAGCTTGACTGCCCACTGCCCAAATATTAAATATGCCAATAGAGTGTTTTTATTATAAAGTGATATGAACACATTTCAGAGTCAATGAGCAAAAGGTTGGGGAGATGGGTGGCGTATAGCTTTAATTAAAACATCCCCGCTTTTCGGGAAGCAGCTCGAAAATAAACACACGTTTAAGGGCTCGCGGGTTTCTATTAGAGTAAGACGTGTTCCAGTGAATTTGAACATGTCTGTCAAACCACTTCCCCCTCCTCTGTTTGGTTTAGTGTCGTTAATTTAATTTGTTAAATGTTGAGATGAGGGCGTGAAGGGCAAAAAAAAAAAAAAAAAAAAAAAAAAAAAAAAGTTAATAAGAGCGTCACCAGCGGAGCAAAGTAGGCCTATTTTAACATCCGTTTTCTTAACCTTTTCAAAAGAAGAGCGTGGATTTGCGCAACAATTATACAACTAAGCTCAATTTGAACAAATGTTGATGTTTTTCTGTGTTAATAACACAAAAATGGGCTTTTATTAGGCTACTTACTACATTTTAGTGCTGCGTTTTATATAAATGCACAGTTTTGATCGTAAGGTGTATAGAGGAAGGTAGAAAGTTTGATTGGAAATTGATAGCTACCCCCCCTACACACACGCACACATACACACACAATAAATACCCACATGTCCAAAATGGAGCCTCTGTCATGTTCACCCCACTCCCACCCTCTGTCACCATTCCCACTTTCCTAAATTAACAGCAGCAACTCCAATTCGTTTTCCATAAACAATGCAGGAGATGAAATATTAATGTTATGTGCGCAATTGTTTAAGTGCCCTAAATGATCCCATTTGGAAATTGATTGTTTCCATCCTTCTTTTCCTTGAGGGTGCTGGATGTGCGCTCCTCTGCCAAACGGCTCCAGCAGCTGGTGACCGGGCTGGAGCTGACTGCAGACCGGGAATCAGCGTGGGGACAGCTGGTCAGCGGCTCCATCGCCACCACCCCTCCCTCCTCCATTCAAATTTCTCCCAACCCCCCCCCCCCCCCCCCCCCCCCCCCCCCCCCCCCCCACACACACACACACACACACACACACACACACACACACACACACACACCATCCAAGTCTATGAGGCCCCAAGTTATCCAGCCGTAGTGCGTTGGGGGTTAAAGGAGTTCAGGCTGACGGACAAGACTTGGCTTGTAGGATGTTAACGATTAGACAAAAGACTTTAATAGGTTTTAATTGAAAGTCGATAATGGGTTTGATAGCCAGCTCCCCCTGCTGTCATCCACGCATGGCACCTGTTATCTGGGGCCTCCACTTAGTGGCCGTGAAATATCAGACTGACGGCCTGATAACTGGCGCGTTTATGATGCGTAAAATTGCATTAAAAATACAGTGGGCCGAGCAGAGTTTTGACGACCGAGAAGGTGAAGAGGAGAGAGGGGAGGGGAGGAAATCAAACACCTCCCAACTTGCCAAACGATCATTATAGTCCCATCATGAGGATCCGTGACCGATTCAGATAACGATGACCCTTTGTATGGAGAAGGGGGTTATTCTTGCAAAGTGCACAGCTGATTATATAAGGAAAAGCCTCCGTGTGTCTTGTTGGATGACTCGGAGATTTTTCCCCCCTCTATTCTTTGCATGTGAAAGGCTGATGGTAAATCCCCCGGCTCTTACCGTGGATTGTCCCCGGCTCAGGGTTAATGAAGTGCGGATGGAGTCTCGTTGAGCTCCCGACAGACAAAAAAAAAAAGAAAGGCTTAGAGACCCAGAGGATCAGTGACTCCTGCTTAATCCCACGGACTCCGAATAATAATAATAATTCTAAAGAACGAACTAAACAAAAACACAACCTTTTGATGAAATTAAGAGTGAATCAAAGCGTCATTTGCATTGTGCTCGTGGTGTGAAAGCTTTTTATATTTGCTTTCATTCCTTTCAGTGGACCAATGAGGCAAATCTGCAGCTCGCATTAAGATTGTTTCAATACACTGCCAGCGTTTTGTTTTAAACATCCGCGGGGGAAGATGAAAAATAGATCAATTAAAATGTTCAAGAAATGCATGGCCTATTTTACCATTTTCCCCAACAATGGCAATAAACGAAAAGAACTAATTTGACTGTTTTGTGTGCACAAGTAAAATATGCCTTTATATGGGCTATTATATCTGCTGTTAGCCAGAGAAGAAATTACATGAATGTATTCCCACATGCCTATAACCCCTATCCTACATATTACATGTATTTAGGGCATTTTGGAATAACCTTTGAAGCCATCATAGCACACAGAAATGTTTCAAAACAGAGCAAAAGCACTTTATTACACACAAACTCTCATGTGTAATGCTCCAAACAAAGTGTTTGACTGTGGTTCCCAAAAAAGAGAAAGTTAAAGATTTTTTTCTTTCACATCCATACACAAAGGCCTGTTTTTTCCCTCTTAACAGGGCAATAAAAGTTTTGAATAATAAAACATGCAAAGTGATTAAAATGTTTTAAAACCGACAGAGGAATGAGAAACACAAAGCAGCTCCTATGTATGTGTTTCTTTTGGAAATATGGCAGTCTGTTTTAAATAGGATCATGGCGCTTATACTGTAAAAATGTAAAATATAGGCTGCAGTTGGATGCACTGATCTTCAGTTTATGTTTGCAGTATTTAGAGTCTATACAGCAGGCAGGGGAAAGTAGCCAACTTCATTCATCTAACCAAAATGTCTATGGCTTAACAGCAGAAAATATGGAGGAGAAAAAGATTGGCGTAAAATAAATCTGACTCAGCAATGAACAGAGACATTTAGAGAGATGAAGAAGGCCTACATGATGAAGTAGCAAATGGAAAGGGGGAGAGTGTGGAGGAGTGAAAGGAGAGCAGCAGCCTGCCTTAGAGATCCACTCCTTGCCTGGAGGTACGGGGGGGCAGCGAGGAGGAATGAAAGCCTCGCGGACTGGAGCGGAGATAACCCCACTAATCATTTCCCCAATATGACGGGGGAGCACTACAAACTTGGGTCAGGGTCGCGGGGATTGACATCCCAATCTCAGCAAATAATGAAAGCTTTCCTCTCGGATCAGAAGGAGGGTTAGGAGGAAGACAGGAGAGGAGAGCGGGAGAAGGGGGATAGACGCAGGGAAGAGAGAGGTGGGGCTGCTTCACAACCACACACATAGCCTGCACTTGAAATCTCTCATTCTTTCATTTCTACTGGACTGCAGAGGATGGTTAATATCCCAACTGACTGACTGAATTTACCATATGTGACAGCTTGGATATGGCCCACTCAGGCACCCTCAAAACCAAGGGCATCACTTTATGTTGAAAAGTGGTGGGGACCTAAGGGCCCAGATCACGGGCGTGATGATAGCCTACACTTGGGTCATGAGACGATGCACAAGAACAAGACAGGAAGATTTTTAACATTATTTTGAAGAAATAGCCAATTTAATGTTGTAATATATGAGCCAGCGGCCTCAGGGTCCTCTCCCAGAAGATTTTAAGCATTAAACGTTTAATGTCCTGCATTCTGGAGACATTTTCTGCTCCAATTTACAGTGTAAATGTCTTTATTTATATAAAGGAAAACAAAAAAATCAGCTGCCAGGTTGCAATTCATGAATAAAAAAATACAATAGAAAATAATGCAGTAATCTGCAGCTTGTATTTTTATTTTTTTTGCTTAAGTTACTTTTTTTGGACAATGCACATTTGTTTCTATGATAGTTAAATTGCATTTCATGTTTTATTGTGCAAATAAACCTTTCTCAAAACATTTTCATTTGTTAGTTAACATTTCTTGGTGCAAGCTATTTTTGAGAACATTTTTAACAAAAGTGATGGGGACAAAATCAGCCATTTCAAATGTGACGGGGACATGTCCCCGGCGTCCCAAGTGTAAATGACACCTATGCTCAAAACTCTATTAAATGTTTTGTATTAAATGTCAATAAAATTAAAAGGTCAGGTCATTAACAGGTGACAGCACTCAAGTTTTCCACAACAGTTGTAACCTTTTGACACCTTTAGACAAAATTGTCAAAACAAACCTTACACTCGTTTCATTGGGATGCCTTGTCTGTCTGAAATGAGTTTATTCAGTCAGCTGGCACAGCCTAGCTAGCAAAGTTTTCAATGCTAAACTAACTGGTTGTCCATCTAATGCTACATTTACTCATTTTGCTTTTATCCAAAGCGACTTACATTTGAGGAACAACTTACAAGCATCAGCAAAGTAAGAGATCCATGAGTAAGAGCAGCAATCATAGCCTATAAGAACTATTGACACATATGGCATCAGGCATCAATGGGACCGATAGGCTTCCTAAGTTAAGGCAAGCAACTCAAGCAATATTGGCAGACTGGAGACAATTGAACACATTATTCCAAGATAGTTACCCCAGTTTCTGTCCTTGCAGTAGCTAAAAAGTCAACTAATAGGCTAAATTAGAAAAAAATAAATTAAAAATAATGTTACATAGCCTATTGCAATTGTAATAGATAGTTTACAACAACCAGTAACAAATGAAAAGTCTAGCTAGGC